ATTTGATATTCAAATTTGATTTAACTGCTATGATGTTCATGATCATTGTAATGTCCGAATTTGATTGCTATGATGTCCGAATTTGATTGCTATGATGTCCGAATTTGATTGCTATGGTGTCTGAATTTGATTGTCATGGTGTCTGAATTTGATCACTATGGTGTCCGAATCTGATTTCTATAGTGTCCGAATTTGATTTTACTGATGTCTGAATTTGATTGCTTTAATGTCTGAATTTGATTGCTTTAATGTCTGAATTTGATTACTACAGAGTCCTAATTTAATTACTACAATGTCCAAATTTGATTGCAACAATGTCTGAATTTAATTGCAACAATGTCCGAATTTGATTGCAACAGTGTCCAAATTTGGTATACAAAACTGATATATAATTTACCTTTAGTTAATAAAATATCATTATTTGAAGGTCATTTAGATATTGGATAATGATACTTAGATTTATTAAATAATGGAAGATTAGTGGTATTTTTCATTAATATCTTGCATTTGAGTAAACTATAATATGTAATAAAATTAATAAATTTATATATAATATATAATTAATATAATAAATTTTTTACAATTGCATAAGCCCATAATGTAACTAAATTATTAACTAATTTTAAATATTAATTATTATTAAAAATTAAACATTACTGAATATGTATATCACAAGATGAAAAATTTATATATATTTTTTTTGATTGTATTTATTATATTTAAAGTATCTGATTCAGTTTCAAGTATCTAAAATTAATTATATAATTAATTATATAATTAATAAATAAAATTAATTTTAATTAATATAATTAATATTTAAAATAACTTATACAAACCTTTTTTATTTTATTAGATTCATTGTTTTTGCTTTTTTGATAAACACATAATTGAATATTTTTTTATTTTTTATTTTTATTATAAATACAATAATAGCCTTATTGGCCTTTAAATCATAATGATCTGCCTTTATTGAAATAGAAATTTAATAACAAATACAATCTAATTCAATTTTGCTCATTACTTAAAGAGTGTACAAGATAAAATCTCTTCTTTAATATTTTCAAAACTCTTGATATTATCAAGATTATATGGAATTGCTAGTGTCTTATCTAATTTTTTATATAACTTCTCAAATTGATTATAATACACCAATATGATAAATACTAAATTAAAATTATTATAATTAATTATATATTTTTTTTTGATATTAAGATGCCCTTTTTAGTCTTTTGACTTTTATTAATCACTTATTGGCATTGTGATTCAATGAACCACTACAGGAGAGCATACAATTAACTACACATGTAACTTTTCTATATTACCTATTTAAGAAGTCTGCCTGAAGGTTCTCTACCAATTGCTGTATCTAACATTCCTGCTTGGATGTTCTACTTTAAACCTTCTGAATCTGTAATTTGTGTTAAGATTACTGGGTTATTCCAGATACCCAGATCATTATCTCAATCTTAGAACTAATTTATCTTTTAGATAAACCTCCCAGAACCTTCTGTACCTATTTTTATAGCTGACCTAGATATCACTATAGCAGAACTAATCTTTGCGATCAGGGCTGACCATTAAACCTCTATGTCCTTGTAGAGTTCACACAAACCACAGCATCTATTTCACAACATATCTGAAATACTTTAGTATACCCCTATCAGTTCACCAAATTCTCAATCCAGATAGTTCAGTAGAACTTATGACTGATCCATTGGTATATCAGGTCGATCTGATATTTTTTTCCTTTGGATCAATCTGACAGCCTGGTTGGTGATACCCTTCACCTAGAAGTTTTTGCCCATCCAGCTACTTCGACCTTGGTATCCATTTCATAAGACTAGTCTTTACAGTAGAACCATTAAAGATCTGGCTACCTTTTGATTCAGGTCTTTCCAAATGGACTTCTTGTTATCCAATTTCAATGGATTTATATGACCACAAGAACTTATCTAATGTTTGCATCACCTAATTGCCAGTTTGTATTCCTTCATGTAATTACAACCTTGTTCCAAAGGACAATGTTATGTGATCTGTTATACAAATGCCCCATGACTTACCAGTCATGCTGGTGCGACTGCCATTACAGGTATCCTAACCCAATTATTAGTAACAGTTGCCATAATATGAATATTACATAGGTGATTATCCAAATTTTCACCATTGATGGGATTTGAACACCCAACCTACCACTTGGAGGGTTGACAACCTGACTACTTCACTAGGTCACCACACCCTATTAATTATATATTATAATATTAATTGTATACAATATTATAATATAAATATTATTACTTATTAATAACAGGCTCTTTAATTGTTTCTAATCTTATAACTTATTACTTGTTACTTCAGACAAATCAGATGACTCTAAAGAATTCATTATAGATGAATTACCTAATGGTTCTAATGGCTCTTTGTTTGTCAAATCTATCATTTCAATGGTTTTACTTGATTTATACAAGTTTTCTTTTTGCTATAAATTTTATTAATATACATTTGATAATATAAAAGTTATAAAAAAAATATATTTACTTTGATGTTGTCGATTATAATTCTCAATACATTCTTGACAAATATTAATAAAATCTTGATTTTTTGTAATCTCAACTTGAGTTACATTTCTTCTAAACCAATCAACAAATTCTTGATCATATTTGACTTTTTTTTTATTAGCACCTAATCATGTAATGTGCTTATTAATAAAGTTTAACTTATGATCAGAACTTCTTTTGCGTTTCAAGTGTAGTTCTGTTGGTTTACAAGAACAATCATTGATGTAGGTTTTAGTACAAACTAAACACATCATACAAATTGGACAAGCATTAAGACGAAAGTTTAATAAAGATGGTTGAATTGACATTTTTTACACTATCACTATGTGAGAATAAAAGTAGTACATGTGATACGGAAATTTCTTTTTTATATATCAACGATCATACTGAAATCAAAAGCATATCAACGATCATACCGAAATCAAAAGCATATCAACGATCATACCGAAATCAAAAGTTTATGTACCGAGATTAAAAACTTATCGAATTCGGCAAATTAATTTCGGCCAAATTTTTATCAGTTGTCCCAGAATTTATGAGAACAGCTGTAAATACTACTCCATTTCCGACCTACAGTAATTGTGGAAGGCTACGAGCGAGGTGTGAAAAGGCTTAGCTCAAGTGACTAGAGTCAATTAGGGTTCTAGCCTACATCGCGGGTCCCTTACTATTAAATCACAGGATTTATTCACTAATTTCTATCACATAATACAGATTTACTTGTCAGGTAAGGATGGCTGTACTTTCGGTGCTTACCGAAATCGAAAGTCTACCGAAAGTACTTTCGAGCAGTGTTTGGTTTACCGAAATGTTCGAAAGTCAAAAGTCCTACCGAAATTAGAAAGTCATACCGAAAGTCGAAACCCTTACCGAAAGTCGAAACTCTTACCGAAAGTCGAAAGCCTTACCGAAAGTTGAAAGTCTTACCAAAATTAGACTTCGACAAAGGCCAATCATATCTTGACACAGATACGTTTTTGATTTTAAAAAAGCCACGCTGCGCTTAAATTCGACCAATGGACTTTTTAGAAATTCCATTGGTCGATTTTACGTGCAGCGGTCACGTGACTTTTTTAAAATCAAAAACGGGGACAGTGCAAAATCGCGTGTTTAAGTTGCGATTGGTTATTTAGCGGTTAGGGGAGGGGATTTCATATTACATCATGTGATCGCACTGTCACTAAGCACTGTCCGTAGATTCCGCGAATCAAAAACGTATCTGTGTCAAGATATGATTGGCCTTTGTCGAAGTCTACTTTCGGTAAGACGTTCGACTTTCGGTAAGAGTTTCGACTTTCGGTATAAATTTCGACTTTCGGTATGACTTTCAACTTTCGATAAGACTTTTGGCATGACTTTCGGCACGCCAAAATACTTTCGGAGCCATCCTTAGGCATGTATGATCGTACTGGTCCTGCACGTCATCGCATGTCGCGCAGCTATTATTATTTAGTAAAAATAAAAATATTAATTACCTTTAGCTGTTTAAAGAGCTTATATTTAAAAGATTATTATAGAATTTTTAGAGATTATCTATAAGATATTGTTCATGAGATGATATTTATCATCGCATGTTATCGTGCAATTATGATCATGATTTACGAGTTGTGGTTGGCTAACTGAGGTTTTATTTAGGATTATTGTGCTTACGTAATAACGTACAAAAAATAACAAGAAAAAAAAAATCCATGATCATATGAGCTTGCACGTTAATAATTAATAACTTTATCATTCAAAGTTAGTTATTTGGTATAAATAATTATGCAAATTAATATATAATTGTATAATAATAATCAAGAAAAATGGATAAAGACTTTATTAGTTATTTGAGTGAAATTAATAAATATTTATTCATGTCAAAATTAATAATTACATTAATATAGATAAGTTATACGTAACGACAAAAAAATTTATTTATACAAAATAAAAATAAAAATTACAAAATTTAAATAACCGTAGTTCTATCTATCTATATTTTCATGAATTAATACTCATTTCATCATCAGAAATAGAATATTGTCTTTTTCTTCTCTTATTTATATACTTAACAGTATGCCAAATCCACCTTATTAAACTTATTGTTACTATTACTAATGATGTTACGAGTGTAAGTAATGGTATGATAGTATAAACTATAATATTTTGTTTGTATAATATCTACAAATTAAAAGATCAAGTAAATTAAAATATTTTTTTAATTCAAAACAAAAGCATCAATTCATTATTAAATTACCTGAACGATAAGCTGTCCTAGATCTTGCATAAATACACCAATAATACTCATCCACCATAACCACATTTTAGCTTTCTCACTATACGTAACCTTAAAAAGATTTGTGAGGATTCTTTGAAATGTTTTAAAGCAATTCTTTCTTTCGTCCTCTTCGTCTATCCACATCCATTCTCCTTCTATTTCTTCCATTTTCTTTTTTTTAGAAGTAGATTTTAGATCGGGATTGGATGTAAATAAATGTGAGTCAAGTAAATGAAAAAATTCAGAATTAATGCAAGAAAATAAGGCAATTAAAAGAGCTAGAAAAGTACGACGGCGAAAGTAATCATGAAAAAGAGGGTTTTCAGAAATTTCGTGGATTAGGAATAAAACAGCAAAGGTGGTGTATATAGATAAGGGGATGAAAAGTAGAAGAACGCTATTTATCAAAATTAAAAAATAAAAATAGATATATGTAAGAAGTTAGTAATAATTCGATTGTAATAAATTTTAGAAATTTTGGCAAACCTTGGAGAAAACAGCCAATTAACATCATGTCCATGAAACCAAATAAATAGTGAATCCAATATAAAGTCCGTTAAAATTAGCATTAATCTTAGAATTATAAACTTATTTCCCTTTTAAATTCAAAAAAAGAAGTTAGTTATCCCTTAAACCGTCCGGTTTGGCAGGCAAATTTTCCCGCTAAAATAATTAGGGCATAAAAAAAAAATTTTCCATGAAAATTTTTATTCCAATCGGATATAATGATACCCTAAAAGGCTTGAGCCACATGCCACTCTATAATCGTAGAGTTGCATACTCTAAACGATTCAAACAACGGAATATATTCACTTAATGGTTGTAATATATGCCATTTGACCAAAACTTTTGAGTCACATTATCTCTCCCACATTACTCCAAAAATCAGTTCTGTAAAGTTGGTCATGAAGAATCTTTGGCCAGCATTAATATCATATCTTTGAAAGATATCTCCATGGACAATCGTCATGATTGTCATACCTTTTTTTGATCGTAAAGACTATATTACGATCAACCATACTTAGGCGACTTGAGACAGTGATAAGATGTTATTGTACAAAAATGGGGCAAAAAAAATTTTAGCTGACGAATTTTCCCGCCGGACAGTTTAGGGATAGTCTAAGATAAAAAAAAAAAACATAAACCAACAAGAGATTAATCAAATAAAATGATTTACATCACTCTGTTTTCTAGTCACAAAATACCAAAGTACTATTATTGTAAAAACTCCCGAGAGTAGTCCAAGTAATAAGAATCTATATTCTTGGATTACATTTGCTTTTTGGATCGAGAAAATAATTAAAAAAAACTCTTAAAATAATTCCATTAAAAATTTTAGTAAGCACTTACAATTCCATTGGGCACCAAACCCTTCATCAATTCTTGATGTCAAATTCATCATTCCCATTGGAGAAATATCACGATTCTTGATTAAAGTATCTAAATCACTTATTACTCTTGCACTTCTAATTTCACCATTTTTTTCTGTTCCAATTATAATTGGTATTATCAAACCATCTTGAGTTGAATCAGTTGAGGTAAATTTAAAATTAGAAGAAATTGATAATCGAGATAGAGAAATAGGGGTAATTTGCGCAAGTTGAGATATTAATTGAGAAAGAAATTGAGAATGATTTGTAGTTGAGATGTTTAAGAAATCGTTTGAAAGTTTTATGAGAGCTGTTACCGCACCTAAAAAGACATAAGATTAACAATGATAGTAATTTTTGAAATATCGGTTAGAAACCATTAAACTATGATACCAACTTGAATATGTATCCGAATAATCACCTAAACAAGTAAAAAAAAAAAAATTTTTTAATTATTGAATTCAATCAAATTGATTATGATAAATAACAAATTTCATTAAAGAAAATGCTCACGAGTAGAAACAATCCAAAAACCATCTACAACACCGACGAGTGCCATATCTGTTGCCTTACTTCTGGCAAACCCATCATCTATTTTGATAAAATATGCTTCATTTGGTTGATTAAATGTACTTTGTAACATCGTAACAGTGACCACAGTATTAGAAGAATCTAATGTGCAAAATCTTGAATTGCCCGAAAATGTTTGCCTCAACAAAGCTCCACCGCTTGAAATATTGGTTGAAGAAATAAATTGGAATATTGAAATATTCCCAGTAGATAATGTAATAGGTTTAGAAAATGTAATGGACAAGGGAGCTGCATCTAGTGGCATTGTAGTAGTGTTCATTGGTAAAGAAACTGATGCTATGTTTGGATTTATTAGAGGATTATCTTTGAATTCAAAAAAAAAAACAAATTCGCAATGTTAATAAATATATATATATTGCGAAAATTAATAGATTATTACCTGGATTATAAATTTTAATAATGTCGGTCGTTACCACGCTCCATGTTGAACCATTACCACCATCATTCAAGACTAAAATCGCAGTATTATTTCTAAACACGCCTACACCACCTTCGTTTCCATTTGATCCACCATTAATCACAATATTACTAAAATTTAAATTTGCTAAGGTTAAATCCCAATTTCCTTTTAAATTTCCTTTAACATCAAAAATATTTCCAATAATTTCACTATTATTTAAGTAAATTCGTTGTAAATAACCACCAAAATATAACGGATCTAACAATATCGTTTTTATAGAATTGGATGTAATATTGTCAATAGGAATTGAAATTGATTCGGTAATGAGACCCGTTAATAGAAATGAAACCTGTATTCTGGAGATAGAGTTACTCTGAGTAGCAGATAGTAAGCATTTGAACGCAGTCCCTTCAAATGATGATTCACCGCATTGCATAATTTCTAATGATGTCAATAAGGTAGTAGGATTGTATATCATTAATGGAGCTATGAAATTGTTTGTTTCCGAGATTAGAAAAGTGCAATAAGTGAATAATTGGGATGTTGTAGAGGAAGCATTATATCGAGCAGTGAAAGCAATCGCAAAGTGACCATAAAAGGTAGGAAAAGTAGTATAATTTTGAAGTTGAAGATTTAAATTGCTTGGTGTTTGAAATCTTCCACTCGCAGACATTGTGTATATTGGTGGTGTAGTAAGATCTGTTATCGCAGTGTTTAATTTTCTGAATTACAAGTATAGTGTTATTAAATATTAATATATCTACATATTTAAATTAAAGTTGGGTGTTGAAAAAACTCACTGTGAAGTAAACTTGGCATAAATAATTGAATCGTTATTATTAGGTCTAAATGTCCACAAAAAATCACCATTATTGTTCAAAACTGTTTTTGTTTTTGCAGGCACATTTGACATGAATGGAGTGCTTAGCGGTGGAAAATCACTAATTATTTCATAAAATTTGAAATATTTTCTTTAAGAATACGCAATTTCATTGTAAATTTTTAATTTAGAAAATTACTAACTTTTGAACTATTTTCCCATCCTGATTAATTATCATGATAGCATATTGTACCAATACATTTCCGGTACTGACACCTGGAGTCGTAGAATTTAAATATAACAATAAACTGAATTTTCTAGCTAACGGATGAATTTCGATTTTATCCACTGGACAAAAATTAATAGGATCAAACTTAAAGTCCACATCATTTGACACCAAACTTCCATTAGGTAGAATATATCTCATTATAACTCTTGATTCTGCGCATTGTTTGTTTGGAAGACGCTGTTGTAGACGAATTACTGCGGTTCCATCTGTTGTAGTATCAAACTCTGCAGGAAAAAGGTTGGACTCTGCGTATGTTAAAGTTTTTAAAGAGAATGTAAGTTGAGGAAAAAGTAGTAAACACGTGATTATTTGAATAATGTTTATTATGATCATTTGTTTGTTAATTAAAATAGTGATACGTATTGTACGTAAATATTTACATGCGTATGTGTATATAAGGTTTTGTTATGACTTTATTTGGTGAAAATATTTATTATGGGGATTGATAAGTTTATTATTTGGACTTGTAAACAAATGAAACAAACGAAGGTTTTCAAGATCTCATAATTAGTCGGTTAATAATTGATTTGAATTCCTCCAATGATGAAATAGAAATAATCTTGTTTATTGCCAAGTTTGAATTTGTGGCTTTGCTGTTTCAAATAATTATATTAACGTTTAATACTAATATTGGCTGTAAATTTTTTTTTAGCCACTTTTATGTTTCAAGCTTTATGAAGGTTACTACACCGCCATTGAAAAATTTGACGATAGCCGAAGATGGATAAGTTTTAGGCAAAGCCACGTAAATTAATAAGATTTATTATTAATTCTCATGAATTTGATTGTGAACTGTAAATTTAGATATCGTCATGGCGGATCCGTTAAAACGGTTCCCTTATTATAATGAAGTGATCTATAAATAACTTTAACCATTTTAAATTATTGTTACTTGTATTATAAATATTATACCGGATATTTATTACTATAGTTTTCGCTTCTCAGCCTGATCAATACAGTACTTTATAGCGGATAATTGCGCGACGTATTCGTGTTTAAATAAGGAACGTAGTATGATATTTGTGCTAAAGATATAAGTATAACGACAAACTTACTAATTTTCTGATGCCAAGAGGAGCAAATTGAAGCTTTTCAATTCTTATTCTACCAATTTTCCGAAATGTTCTATTTCCAGTGCAATCAATACTCAACATTCTGAAATTAAACCCAAGCTTCTGGATACCGAAATCATTTTAAAATGCAATGGTTGATTTTCATAAAGAAGCAAGTAGTTGTAAATGAGCACTGCCAACGAAATCAGCTTAAATTTAGTACTTTCAAGACTAGTACTGGGATTTAGAACAGACCTTTTGTCACTTCATTAGTCTTCTATATGCTTTAATAATGTATAATACAATCTTATTTGTCAAATTTGTGAATGATTTAAATACAGGCATAATGAAGTTTCGATCAATTTGTCATTCAATATAACATTTCTTTTAAAAATAAGTTGCATAATTATTTCATTTTTTCATCGCTATTTTAGAAAAAATTAAGTTTATTTAAATCATTGATCTTATTAATAGACTTTTATTATTGTAAATGGAACAAAATCTAAGTGGATTCGGAATTTTACAATAAAACCAGCATTTTACAGCTGTTATCATTATTTCTGGGACACATTGTGAAAAATTAACCGAGTAACGTTTATTGTTTACAAAGATGGGGTGCGTACGTACGTAGATGCCAATCGAATTGCAGTAACAATTATTAATCAATAATGACCTGATAACCAATATCAAAATAACTCTAATTAAGTATTATACTTTCGAAGCATATTCAGTCGAAAAAAATTTAGGAGGGTTATAAATTCGAACAACAGCTAAACACTTAGGTGTTAGCAGATCTTCAATAAGTCAAGTTTTCAACCAATAGAGGGTTTCAAAGTTAACGTGCGAGAATCTAATTTTGATAGAAATAGATGACGTATTTATTTACAAATAAGTGATGTATCAACTTTATTTAATTTCCTGATAAGTTTGAAATTATGATTTTTGTCATTGAAAAGTCTGTTTATTTCGTTAAATGGTGATCATTTCATTTTCCGATTTTAAAATTTTAATTTCAAAATGCGCTACTCATTTGCTAACGTTGAAAGATTTCCACCACTTGTAAGAAATCACGTCTATTAAACTTGAATGATATAAAATATTAATAGAAGAAAAGCCTAACTGATATTTGTATGAGTTACGATTAGAAATGGAACTTTAGTTAGAACGTGAAAGTAGAGATCATTGAAGCCTTGTAGTTTCACGTGAGTTTTAATTTATAAATTGATTATCATCTACGTACGTACGTACCTGGCTTTAAACCATCTTTGTAAATAATAAACAATAACTTATCGAATTGTCAGAATAATCACTCGGTTAATTTTTCACAAGGTGTCCCAGGAATAATGACAACAGCTGTAAAGGTTGAATTTACTGGTTCTAACTCAATATCCCGACATCAAAGCTCGAAATGCATAATGCCGACATCACACGACGTAACAATCAAAATTTAAAGCCTGACAATAATTATTAACATGATTACTAAAACAGGAGGAACTGTCGATGTTACATGAATGATTCTTCACACGGTGTGCAACATATAAAAACTTTTTTTACAATACCAGATCATTCCGCTAGTACGTGTTATGATTATAATCCCACACCATTTTATTATAATGAAAATGGTGTGGTGTAAATATAGCTTTAACTTAAAAATAGTAGGATGCACATTTGGCTTTTTAATAATATTGTTGGGTTCGGAAGATTGCAACTCTGTCACTCCAAAATTCTAAACTTTGTGTAATGTATGACAAGTAACCTTTTTGAAAGAGGGTCACGGGTTTGAACAGCATTATTTACAGGAGTTTACCAGGTTTGTAGCAGTAATAGTGTTAGTGTTTATTAAATACAATGTAGGGTATTGGGATTTTTTATTTAATAAAGCAAACAAGGCCTATCATTTCTTAGGGTCATTTTGGTCTTTATTTATAATACTAAATTTGTCGCTTACAAATGCAACTTTGCATTTACTATTACTTTAAGGCTATTAAATGTTATTTACACTGATTTATGTAATATCTTTAAGGATGTTTAATTTCTATTCCCATTCTCCCTTCTGGATCTGAAATACCATTTTTGGTCACAAATGTAACTTATTGCATTTCATGTATTTTTCATGTGATCAGACATGATATCTGGTATTACAATATCTGTCATCACAATATAAATGCTATTTTTTTGATCCTTCTATCTTTCTGATAATACCTTTTCAAAATAAAGAAAGCAATAACATAAAACTGTAAAGTGTGCACTGAATTTTTTAATATTTGGTTCATTTCCAATAACATTTTCACATTAATATATGCTATCAGATTGTGACATTTGGGTCAATTATATAACAAATATGTTCACACCATGTACAGTTGCCTCTGAAAGTTTGTCACAGTTATACAAAAACATAATAACAAAAACATAACAAAAATTTATGCAATAATGGTTATGGTTGTAGTTATTAGCTATTGATATTTAATTTGTTGTATAATGATCAAGTATCATTATGCATTAATATTATATTAATTTGTAAAATATATTAATATCATTAATTGCATAAATTTTTATTTTTTTTGTTTTTGTGTAACTATAATAAACTTTCAGAGGCAACTGTACATAAATAGCATTTACACATATATGTACATATTTACATATGTTGTGTCTTTTTAAATAAAAAAATTAATTAATAAGGTATATATTAAATTCCTAACAGTTACTATTTGAGGATAAATAGAAAATTTCATATTTGATTGTATTGATATGAGCTAGGTGGATCAGAATTGCATTACTAAAACAGAAAAGAATGTAACAAATTGTTGCTACAAAATTGTTGATATCACTCAAAAGCAAAAGAAATGGTTACAATTTGGTACTAGTCAAGATAGTTTTTGAAAGTTTTACAAGGAGAATTTGGATGTAATGTAAATGGATTAAAGAAATATATTGTTTATTTTGGTCTAGAATACAAGTTAAAAACTTTATTAATTATATTTTTTTATTTATTATTTAGAGTAGGTTATCTAAAAGACATAAAAGTTATAGAATTGAAAGGTTTCTCTAGGCTATTACAAAAAGAAAATTTGATCCATATTTATAAGAAATTACAAGCAAAAAAAAAGAAATCAAACATGATTTTGATACTTTTTCTCATTAACATAAATTATTTTTATTTTTTTTACTAACATTATCTATTATTACTTTAGCATTTTTTATTGAATTTTTATAACAACACATAATCCATTATATAATAATTCATTAGCATAATCATAAATTTATCTGTCAAGATAATATTATTTTAACAAATATCTTTCAAATTAAATGAATGATTTTTTCTTAATAAAATTAGTACTATTACTAAATGTGAAACTTGAATTTCTTATACAATTATTCTTTATAGTTCTAGAATTAGATTTATTTATAATAATATATAATTGATATCAAAATTAAAAATTTTTTAAAAACAAATAATTATATTTATATTAAAATATTATTAGAATAAAAAGATTAAATATATATTTTATACAAAGGTAGTTTCTTAAATAAAATTTTAATTTCTATTAATTTTAAAAACCAATGTTTTTTCTTATTTGATTAATAAATCAATAACACACTAATTAATTTTATCAATTAGAAATAATGTTTTGCATATACTTAAACAAAACTAATAGAAAAATTATAACTTATATGAACTATATATATATATTTATATTTATACAATTATACAATACAATATTACTATATGGAGGATCAGATTAATGATGACTAGACTCAATATACAGGACAGGCTATGGTATTCTGCACAGCTGTGCAAGTTGAACATATAGTAAGTGAACCTATAGAAGAACTTTTTATTTTCTTGAATTCTATTTTATCATCTCATATTAAGAAAAAACTACAAGATTCATCTTATAATACACTATATGATCCAGACTCATGCTATAACTTATAGTTAGCAGGATTGAATCTATCTCTACTTCCACATCCTCAAACACTTAGCTTTTTTTTAAAACACATTCATTATTACAACTATACACAATTAAACAATTTCAACTATGTACTTATAATATCAATCAAAATTGATTATAGTAAATATTACATATATTTATCACACAAATCTCAACCTTCACTTGAATATTTTTCTCACAACTATCAGTCTATACTTATTATCCATCCATACCCATTTCTTTTAAATTTTCTTTAATAAACAACAACATACAAATACAAATTTAATTATAAAAAAAAATAACATAAACTACTCTTATTTTCAACTAATATAAACTATTTTAGAAGGTC